AACAGATCCTTTTATTTATTTATTTATTTATTTATTTATTTATTTTTTGAGACAGAGCCTCAAGATATCCCCCTGGGTAGAGTGCTGTGGCATCACAGCTCACAGCACCCTCCAACTCCTGGGCTCAAGCAATTCCCCTGCCTCCACCCCCCGAGTAGCTGGGACTACAGGCGCCCACCACAACACCTGGCTCTTTTTTGGTTGCAGCCGTCATTGTTGTTTGGCAGGCTTGGGCTGGATTTGAACCTGCCAGCTCAGTTGTATGTGGCTGGTGCCTTAGCCATTTGAGCCACAGGCGCTGAGCCCCGATCCTTTTATTAAAAGGGAGGTAGCAGAAAAAGATGAAGCTTTTCTCACCTCCTTTGCTACTTTAAAGACAATGAACTTGAAATCAGAAGACCACAGGTGCACTACCCATTTACTGTTTTGCTTTGAATCCTCTTTCTTTAAGATGCTCAGCACTCTTAATAAAAAATAATTAAAAAAAAAAAAGATGCTCAGCACTCCACTGGCTCCTTTAAACACAGCAATGTACTGGTGAAGAACGGATATCTTCAAAGATTATCTTCTGATATCTATCAGAACTGATAACTGAACTCTCGGGTTCCTTCCTGTTATCTGGAGATTTCATCACATGCTTCAACAGATAATTTATAATTTTTAACAGACACACAGCTATATCATGACTTGTCTCAGTACTGACTCCTGGAAGACTACATTGATAACACTTGTCTATATAGATCATCACCCATTGACTCCAATTATCTGGACTCCTAACAAAACATGTTCCCATTTTCTTTAGTAACCAGTGGTGGAGAATCCCTGTCAAGGTTGTTTGAAAGCTTAAATATTACATCTTACTGTGAGCTAGGCTGACTCCATGGCACTCTAGCTTTGGCAAGGGAGTGAGACTGTGCCTCAAAAATAAAACAATAATAAATATTACATCCCTTTTTTCATTACTCATAGTCTCAAAGAACTCAGGAGTACAGAACTTCAGTTGTAAAGCGGTCAACCTCCTAGAAAATTTCTCAGGAGGCTGGGTGTGGTGACTCACATCTGTAATCCTAGCACTAGATTGCTTGAGCTCAGGAGTTAGAGACCAGCCTGAATAAGATACCCCATCTCTACTAAACATAGAAAAACTATCTGGGTATTGTGGCAGGCACCAGTAGTCCCAGCTACTCAAGAAGCTGAGGCATACGGGTTGCTTAAACCCAAAAGTTTGAGCTATAATGTGACCACAGTATTCAACCCCAGGGTGACAGAGTGAGACTCCAAGTCAAAAAAAAAAAAAATTTCTCAGTAGATGAACTACCGGTGATGGGCTTAGAGGTATGAGTAGGAGTTCAACAGATGGAAAAGGAAGGAAAAGATGGGTCAAGCAATCCGAATAGCATCTGTAAGGGTACAGAGGAACAAGGGTGCATAGAACACTTGGGAAGAGTCAATGCGGCTGACAAAGTATGAGGCCACGAGTGAAGCTGGCAGGGGAGGAAAACAGAAGAAAGACAGCAACTGAGACCAGTTGTGAATCCTAAGAGCGACACTTATGCAGCTCTTACTTTGTGGTAGCTACTATACTAGTTCTTTGCAAACATTTCTTGTTTCAAAAATGAAAAAGGTGGCTCAGTGACTAGGGTGCTGGCACCATATACTGAGGGTGGTGGGTTCGAACCCAGCCCTGGTTGAACTGCAACAACAACAAAAAAATAGCCGGGCGTTGTGGCAGGCACCTGTAGTCCCAGCTACTCGGGAGGCTAAGGCAAGAGAATCACCTAAGCCCAAGAGCTGGAGGTTGCTGTGAGCTGTGATGCCACAGCACTCTACCTAGGACAAAAAAATGAGACTCTGTCTTAAAAAAAAAAAAAAAAGAAAGAAAAGAAAAAAGGCTTGGCACCTGTGGCTCAAGCGGCTAAGGCGCCAGCCACATACACCTGAGCTGGCGAGTTTGAATCCAGCCCAGGCCACCAAACAAAGATGGCTGCAACCAAAATATAGCCAGGCATTGTGGCAGGTGCCTGTAGTTCCAGCTACTTGGGAGGTGGAGGCAGGAGAATCACTTGAGCCCAGGAGGTTGCTGTGAGCTGTGATGCCACGGCACTCTACCCAGGGTGACAGCTTGAGGCTCTGTCTCAAAAAAAAAAAAAAAGAAAAAAAGAAAAAAACTTAGAAGGTTCATTGTATTCTAATCAGTAGATTTGACTTTTCCAATTGCTTTCAAGTAGGGCCGCTTGCCTTCAATTTGAGTAACAAATCCAGGAACTTGGTTTTCCACATGCCTCAGTCTTTTACTTCATGAAGGAAGAGCATAGTGTTTTTTGCTGGCCCAGCCCCCTTCCCCTCCCTCCCTTGGTAAGTCTCCATACTTCTGGTTACAGAGATGGTCACAGAGCCCAGACTAAGCCAGTCAGAGCCACTCATCCCCCACAAGGTTTTCTGTGTTGGAGCCAGAGAGGAAGCTTCCAGCTTCTCTGGGAGCTGAGCCAGGAGCTGCCATGTCCTCACCATGGGGACAAAAGCTGACATGCAGAGTGAGGCAGGGGTGGACATGCTGTGCGTTTGACAGTCCTCAAAGAATTACGTCTCCTACACCCTCTTTGTTTTAGCCTTTGAGCAGCTTGAGTTAGATTTGCCCCTTGCAATCCAAGAGTATCTCAGTGGCTAAGAATAAATTTCAGAGACTTAGAACAAATGTGCCAAAGCCTTGACAGTTATTGAACAGACGAGAATTCGACTACTTGTCTTTGTACCTTGAAAATGTTCGTAATCTTTTTAAAAGATCTACTGAGACTATCGTGTGGTTTTTCTTTGGGGTCCTGCTGATGTGATGAATTGTACTGATTTCCAAGTGTCAGGCCAACCTTGCTGGCCCTCCAGGAGTGGGCCCAGTTGGTCCATACTGGTGGTGTTCCTTTGGGGAAAGAAGAAATTCGGCCTGCTAATGTTTTGTTTGGGATTCTATTGCGGTAGACGTCCTTGGTTTTCTTCTCTTGTAGTACCTAAGCCAGGCTTTCGTGCTGGGGTGCGCTGATCTCAAGGGATGAGTACCGCATTTTCCTTTTTTTGTTCTACTCTCTAGAGAAATTTGTGTGCTGGATGCTGTTCTGTTTTTATATGTTTTTACCTGAGAAAGTATGATTATACATTACTTTTAAATCCTTGATCTGTTAGTCATTATTTGCATACCTTTTGGCTTATGGAGAAATAACTTTAAACATACACATTTTGAAGAGATAAAGTAGGCAAAAAAAAAAAAAAAAAGCACTCAATGCTTTTTTAGAAAATGAGTCCTTTCTTACTAAGGGCAATGTAATCATTTTCCCCCCAAGTCTAGATTAGCAGGCTTACCTCTTGTCCTGGATCTTTTACACAAAGTTTCATCATTACCACCTTTACCATTGACATTTACTGAACACATCTATTTGCCTGGCACTGTGCTGGGTACATTACACATATTATTTCTTTTAAGAGTCATTATAAGTCTGTGAGGTAGCTAGCAGTATTGCCTCCCACATTTCAGAAGAGATACCTGAATCATAGAGGCCACGTCCAGGATCCAGCAGTTCAACCTCAATATTCTGACAGCAGAGTATCGGCTCTTTACTCAAATGTGCCACGGCCATGGGGAGGCAGCACAGCCAGGTGAGAATGGGAAAAAGGACAACTCTGCTTGCTGCCCCATCTCTGCCTCCACCTGGCAGGGAGAACTTGAGAAAGTCATGTCATCCTCCCGGCCTTCGCTAATAAAAAACAAGGCCTGGTCCAGACAATTGTTTTGAAACTCTGCTTGAAGGACTAGGGATTTGGGAGACACCACCTTGGGGGCATCCAGCAGGGGAACAGCTTTCTTTCCTGTATTGCAGGCTGCTGTGGTCTGAATCTTTTTGTCTTCCCTCCGAAATTCATGGTGAAACTTAATTCACCAATGTCACGGTACTAAGAGATGGGAAGCCTTCATGAGGTGATTAAGTCACGAGGCAAAGCCTGCATGGATTCTGTCAGATGCCCTTGTAAAAGGGCTTGGCAGGAGGAGTTTGTGCCTTCTGCCCTCTGCTGTGTCTTTACCAGACAACCAAATCTGTTTGCCCCTTGATCTTAGACTTCCCAAAATTTCTGTTCTTTGTAAATTATCCATTTTCAGGCATTTTATTATAGCAACACAGACTAAGCCACATACTAACTTTCTATAGGATTTTCTTTGAACTAAATGTTCTGAAGCTTTAAAAACTGAAGTTCCTGGTTCCTGTGAGCCCAGCAAGTTGGCTCACATCTATAATCCTTCCTAGCAGTCTGGAGGCCGAAGCAGGTGGATTGCTTGAGCTCACGAGTTAGAGAGCAGCCTGAGCAAAAGCGAGACCTTACCTCTACTGAAAATAGAAAATCTGAAGCAAGAGGATTGCTTGAGCCCAAAAGTTGGAGGTTGCTGTGAGCTATGATGCCACAACACTCTACCCAGGGAGCCAGCTTGAGTCTTTGTCTCAAAAAAAAAAAAAAAAAAAAAAATTTTGAGGTTCCTGTGTTCTAGTGTTTTAATGATTCTATCAAACCATTAGATAAATGATTCTATGAATATTCTATGATTCTATTATGCATCCCATTATCAAACTCCTAAGTAGGTACAGAGTATATTCATCTAACCAAAGAAATCCCCACTATACCCAAATGTTTATTTCTCTATGCCTTTTCTAGAATAAATTTTCCACTTTTACATGGATACCCAGAAACCCCCCTAAATTTTTATCACGTGATAAATTCTATTTAGCACCCATTCCCCCCCCCATAAAGCAACATTCTCCTATATGTTATATACTAATCTTTGCTTACATTTTCCACTTAATTTTAGCATGTTCAGTGCAGAATCTGACACACTGTAGTTGTCAACTAATTGCTGAATCTGGGTGACAATAAAACATTTAAAAGTCAAAGCATCAGACAAAATGTAACTTTTTATGAGACTTCAATTTTTGAAATACATAATTCTTACAGAACACACACTATTTACACTTCAAGATCTTTTTACAAAGATGTGTGCCATTTTGAAAGAATACTGTTGAAATCATGATCTAAAGTACCTCTCAGAGTTCAAAAAGGACTTGTGGGATTTGGTCTCCACAATCCACTATATAATGACATAAACAGAATATGGCTGAATATCAGGATTTACCTATACACAAAAATATGAATCTCAGTGATCAGAAAACAATGGCTTGTGAGTCAAATCTAGCTGGTGGCCTGTTTCTGTACAGCTGCAAGCTAAACATGTTTTTTACATATTTTAGACAGTCATTCAAAAAAAAAGAACAGCCAAACATAGAATAATGTGTGACAGAACTACATGTGACCTGCAATTATTTACTATCTGGGCTTTTACAGAGAGAGCTATTATGATATACTGCGAAGTATTAAACCACCACTGTAATGTGCTGGTGCCATCAGCATACTCATTTCTAAAACGAGGCACTTCTGTTTGAATATGTACATTTCTAAAACATAATTACATCTGGTAAGTAGCACTGCTACTTGACTCTAGCCCTTTGTAATTAGGCTTGCACATGAAATCATAGTATTCCTGGGGGCTGAAGTAAACAAGCACAGAGTGTTTCAGATGTCAGTCATTGAGCTCTTCAGTAGTTATCAGTGGTTTAAGACCACGTACAATCTTCATCATTAATAAAATCCATAATTTAGATATTGCCAATAGGAGGCAATACCACTGCACTATTTAAATAACATCTACAAAAATATGTTTAGACATCATAATTCGTTATGTTCAGAAGAATAATTAATTAACTTAGTAACTACTTAATTTAAAAATGGGAAATGGGGGGGAGCATGAAACTATAGCAGAAGACTTTGAAATGCAAAGACTGGGGTCTCTTAGTAATCACTCCTAAGCTGGCCTAGGCTTCTCATATTAAAGTAAGTCCACAATGGTTGCTCTGGGAAATTAGCAGCTGTCTCTTGTCAGTTAGCCTTTTTATAAAAAAGATGACAGGTTCACAAGCAAATGCTTTAAAAGTAAAACTAGTTCAGAGCTGCTCAACACACAAGTTTTCAGTGTGGCAGTTGAACGATTCCTGGTCAAGGGGTTATATTCATGACACAAAACAGCATGGTACTGGATGTTATCCTTCTTCGGGCCAAGATGGCTAATAAACAACACATCACAAAGACATCTCTGTGATGCTGAGTTTTAAAATGCTCAGTAAATGCTGAGGTAGATGATTTTCAAATGAAGATCTTCTATACCCTGATTCGATTGGGACTGGCTTCTTTGTGTATCCTCCTTCTGGGGAATATCTTCTTCTTAAGTGCGATTAACTAAATGACAAAAGATGGAAAATAAATTTTAATTCTCATGTGATGAAAGAGTACAAGTACATCAAACTTTGAGGCCCATGAGACTGTAATCATTTCCATAACCTTATACATGAAAAGCAGACAACAAACAAGACTCCATTTCTCCCCCCAAACCAAAGTAACCATGAATTTGTTTAGTTTTGTAGGGTCAATAACCTACACATGTGCCCACAAAGAGACCCACGAAGACAAAAATCATCTCAGGGTGGCGCCTGTGGCTCAGTGAGTAGGGGGCCAGCCCCATATGCCAAGGGTGGTAGGTTCAAACCGAGACCCTGGCCAAACTGCAACAAAAAAGTAGCCGGGTATTGTGGCGGGTGCCTGTAGTCCCAGCTATTTGGGAAGCTGAGGCATGAGAATCACCTAAGCCCAAGAGCTGGAGGTTGCTGTGAGCTGTGATGCCACAGCTCTCTACTGAGGGTGACAAAGTGAGACTGTATCAAAAAAAAAAAAAAAAAAAACAATAAAATTCATTCCACTTAATTTTTCTAAGCCTATGACTACAGATTTTTACATAGCTATTACTCAGGCATATTTATTTTCAAAAGATGTACATGTGTCAAGGCTTTCTACCAAAGGAAGATGGCTCCATTTGGCCACTAAGACATTCCCTTTGATTTGAAAAAACTAGATTGGTAAGATACTATTAAAAAAAAACCTAAAACACCTATATTAAAAATCTTTTCTTTTTTTTTTTTTTTTTTTGAGACAGAGTCTCAAGCTGTCACCCTGGGTAGAGTGCTGTGGCATCACAGCTCATTGCCTCAGCCTCCCAAGTAGCTGTGATTACAGGTGCCCATCACAACACTCAGCTATTTTTTGGTTGTATTTGTCATTGTTGTTTGGTAGGCCTGGGTTGGATTCAAACCTGCCAGCTCTGGATGTGGTGGTGCCTTAGCCACTTGAGCTACAGGTGCCGAGCCCTATATTAAAAATCTTATCAGCATTTTTTTCTAGACTTAGTATAACCACAATCATTTGGAAATGCAGGCAATGCCAATTTGTGAACGGGTTGTAATACGAAAGTTCATTTGTTGGCTCGGTGCCTGTGGCTCAAGTGGCTAAGGCGCCAGCCACATACATCTAAGGTGGCAGGTTCAAATCCAGCCTGCGTCCACCAAACAATGACGGCTGCAACCAAAAAATAGCCAGGCGTTGTGGCAGGCGCCCATGGTCCCAGCTACTTGGGAGGCTGAGGCAGGAGACTTGCTTGAGCCCAGGAATTGGAGGTTACTGTGAGTTGTGATGCCATAGCACTCTACCCAGGGTGATAGCTTGAGGCTCTGTCTCAAAAAAAAAAAAGGTTCATTTGTAAATTAGTAGCTTAAAACTTGGATAGATTTCTCCTAGAAACAAGTTTATTCATGATGTATCTGAAAAGAAAACCTAACCACTGTTATAATAAAATTTCAATTTAAAAAAGTGTTCCTTATGGTTTTCATTACTGTCTTCTCTTTTCCCAAACACGTAGGCCTGGATAGTCCTTCATCCAGAGGTGGAAGCAGGGCTTTGCCCATTCAAACCAAGGTCTGAATGATGAGCTGGGATTTGAGAGGAGAGGAAGAGGCATCACTGGCTGGTTGTTTGTGCATGCTGGTGGTAGGTATGGTAAGAGGAAAGAGTTTGATGCAAGTTAGAGTGCAGGGTGTTAGAGAGGTGAGAGGATCGAACCTTCCCTTCCTCCTTGTCTCCCTCCCTCCTCTTGACCCTCCAGTCCCCTGTTTTCAGCTGGTATAAATGACACAGGGGAAGGGCTGACCCTCCTGTCCCTATGCACTGCAGTAGCTGCTTCTTTCAGCCAGGGTCCCTCTCCCTCCTCATCTCAGGACAGCTTACAGCAGACTCAAAGCCTCCTCACTAGACCCCTGCTCTAAAAGCAGGTACAGACTTTTTGAGATTTTTTTTCTAAGACTTTTACCTGCCAGGAACAAGGGCAACAAAAATGAAGAACAAGATGTATGGTCCCTGAGAAGCAGGTGAAGGTTAAGGTGACATCCTGTTCACCAGCCCAGTCTCCATTTCCTGAATTTCCTTCCACCTGCGGCAGGAAGCCCAGTCACTTATCCTAAAGCTCTTAGTACTCAGGAGCCTTGTCCTTCTGGATGTTAAGTCAACTTGTGTGTTTCCTCTGAGTGACAGCTAGAGAAGCTCCACCCAACAGTCACCTCAATCAGAGGCTGAGGCAGGGCTGCTGCCGCACACAAGTCAGAGTGGCCTATAAGCCCCTCATTCAAATCTTTCTCTTCAGGGTATTTCATACCTGCAGCCTAATGAGGGTTCTCTTATCCCTTTCTTTTACCTCACAATCTCTCTCCTACCTCTGGACCCTCACCTCAAGACCATGTGGGCAAGCAAAGGCACACCCGGGCAGATGGGCTGATAAGGAGAGGGCCATGGAGGAAGAGGGAGCAGCCCCAGCAACTCAGAGGAAACCTAAGAGGGAGCGACCAGTGTGAGGACAGCACACAGAACCGGGGGGTATCAGAAGGTAGGACACCGCAGTCACTCTATGAAGGCTAAAAGGGAAGAAAATTTGAGACCCATAAAACGTTAGTATTAGAAGATTCTAGGTGGTTTGATTTTTGGCTACAAATACTTAAAGAGTTTTTCAGTTTTAGGTTGGAGTCCGCAAGTTATGTATTAAGTTTCAGATAAAAAGAAGGCTAGCAATGGATTTATAAGATAAATGAATAAAAAGCTGTTGTTTGCTGCCTGAATATTATGGTAGATATCTGACATATTGACATCAACTATAAGCCAACAGGAGAAATTAACGTTTTCTGGTTGTCAATTTGTATCACTTTCAAAGAATCAGATGCTGGTGTGCTAAGAAATAGTTTAATATGCACATAAAAATATATAAAACTTACCTGCTCAGCAAAAAATGAGAATATAGTAAACATAATCAACGTTGCCAGTACACAATGGGTCCAAAACTTTAATTTGTCTCGGTAAGCCCTCCTGTACAGAGAGAAAAGAAAGCAAATAAGTCCTCTGTACATTGTCTCACTGGCATTAGTTAAGTATTATTATATACGACTTTCATAAAAACACTGTCTAGAGGCAATTCAAAAATGTTAACACAACATACATTCCCAACCTGAAGTCAGATGTTTTTATTATGTCAGAGCCAACAATATACTTGAATGAATAAAGTTATCCAGGCAGGAAAGTGGACTTCAAACGAAAACTCTGAATTTGTGGCACTTAAACAAAACCACTCTTGCATTCATTTTTATTTATTCATTCATATTCATCTATTCACTCACTTAGTTACTTGATAAACGTTTCCTGTGGCTACAGAGAGATGAACAAGATGAACTCCCTGCTCCAGAGCATTTAGAGACCTGGAATCACTGACATGCTGACTGACAGCCAGCCATCACATAAGGTGGACAGAAACACGTATGGTCGGAAGCAAAGCCTTGTGGGAAACATTGGAGAGATAAGGATAGCATCACAGGAAGATAACATTTCCTTTAAGCCTGGAAGGGAGAAGGAAGGCATCTGGCTGAGGAAGGGAACCAGCAGCAGCAGAGAAGCAGGGTCATGGGCTGGGCGCTGCAGAGGTGAGTGGAGTTGGCTTGGGGGAGCTGCACACGATGGCATTTGGACGTAACACCGCAGTGGGGAAGCCAAGGACAGGGTGAGGTGGGGTCCCTGCAACATAATCAGGGTAAAAACGGTGGCTACTTGAAAGATGGATGGACAAGTGGGACAGGCAGCCCAGTCTTACTTAGTACATGCATCAGAAGAGAAGCAGGGAGAGTGAAAGGAAGTAAGCAGCTAAGGGACATTCTGAAGGTGGAATCAACTGAACCTGGAGCCAATGGAACGCTGGAAATAAAGACAGGAAGCGCAGCACAGTTTCCTCGTCTGTATTTAGAAATAGTGAATAATTAGTTATGAAGATTACATTTTAAAAGCTCAACACAAGGCTTGGCGCCTGTGGCTCAAGCGGCTAAGATGCCAGCCATATACAACTGAGCTGGTGGGTTCGAATCCAGCCCAGCCCGCCAAACAACAATGACGGCTGCAACCAAAAAATAGCTGGGCGTTGTGGTGGGCACCTATAATCCCAGCTACTTGGGAGGTGGAGGCAGGAGAATTGCTTAAGCCCAGGAGTTGGAGGTTGCTGTGAGCTGTGATGCCACAGCACTCTATCCAGGGGACAGCTTGAGGGTCTGTCTCAAAAAAAAAAAAAGCTCAACACAAGTTTGGGAGATAAGCTAATAAGTACCAAATTCAGTCCCCTGTGCTGAGTTTCACTTTCATTTACAACTGTTTGGGAGAGGGTGTCTCTGCCTAAAGTCACAGGTCCAGACAGTCCTCTCCCAGACATAGTTCTTCCTCCTCTATTTCTGACACTGGTTACCAGAAGCACAACCAGTTCAGACCACTCTAATATCTACAGTGTCATTCAGGATCTATGTGGAATTTAAGGAACTCCACAGCCACAAACTCTCAGACAGTGAATGTGCTGTCCCAGCAGTCACAGAATCCACTGGGCACCTACTCTGTGCTAGGGAGGTACTGTGAGCTCAGCAGCAAGTAAGACACCATCTTTGCCCCCGAAAAGGCTTCATAGTTTACCGGGAGACAAACACAACCAGGTGGATGGCTGACAGTGCAGTGAGCAGCATACCCGAGAAAGGAACCACTTCTGTGGCAATGAAAGAAAGCCAGTGCAGCGCAGGAACCCAGGGGAAGATGGCAGGGACTCCTGTGCAGAAAGAAAAACAGGGCAGTTTCTAGGAAGCAGGGCAGTTTGGCAGCCAGCAGATGACGCAGAAGCTGAGCAGGACGAGAAGCAACAGCCACCAAGGCAAAGGACTGCAGGGCACCCCACACCCGATTCGTGCCCTTTGCAGAGCATGGAAAGCAAAGTCCTACAAAACTTTTCTTAAGCCCTTGGAGGTAAATTTAGTCACAAACTGGATTTGGGGAGTTCACACTTAGAACTACCTGAAGATCTTTTCCCTCTAAGCTCAAAGAAAGTGAAAATGGTGAGAAGCCATTCCTGGAAGACAAGACCCATGACTCAGAACAACTCCTTATGAAAATAAAAATACAGAGATCAGTAATATACATCCTACTTGTCTCATTTACCCGACTCTCAGACACCAAAGAGTTCTAGTTGCCAGCGTCTGTCCGTTTCCTCTCAAAGGTCTCTCCTAATTCATCTACTGCTTTCTCTGTATTCACGGGGCCGTGTCCTTGGTGACTGTTGTTTTTAGGACTACCAACACACTACTTGTCTCCTTGACTCTGGCTCCTACACAACATCACCCTACGCCAAATAACTTCCTCACCAGTCCAATCTCCACGCTAACATTAACTATTTCAAGTCATGATTTCTGATTAAAAAAAAAAAAAACTCTCCTGGAAGTCCATTTGCTAAAGAAAAAAGTCTAAGGGCAGTGCCTGTGGTTCAAAGGAGTAGGGCGCGGGTCCCATATACCAGAAGTGGTGGGTTCAAACCCAGCCCCGGCCAAAAACTGCAAAAAAAAGAAAAGTCTAATTTAGATACAGATACCTCTGTGCCTTTGCACGTGCCATTCCTTCCATCAGAAAGGCTTTCCTACCTAGAAAAGTCATTCTCATAATTCAAAACCTGGCCCAAACATCACCTTCCCTTAATAAAATCAGTTCTTCTTCTATAAGCCAATAGCACTGAACCCTGCTGCCACACTCAATATGCTGTATCACAACCACTTGCCTAGTGTCTGTCCCCGTCAATAGACTGTCAGCATTTCAAAGTCCAGTACCAGTCTTTCATCTCTGTATTCCTAGCACCTGGCATAGGGAAGCAGGTCAAAAATCTTCCTAAATTGAAAGATAAAATTATGTTCATCATTAAGTGTAGTGGCACATAGTGGAATGTATGGAGAGTTGGCAATTAGGCTGGATCTAACACTTGGCAGCTACTTCAACTTGATCAAGTTATTCAACTTCTATTACCATGTTCTCATCTGTCATGTGCCAACAATACCTTTAATTGTAGAAAGTAAATACAATGAAACCTCCACAGTTGACTACCTCCTTAAGTTGACTTAATATTCAGACTGGACATGCACCACATGTACATATCAGTACAACAGGCCTAGTTCCTTATGTTGACCACCTCTACATGTTGATCAGTTTGTTACATACAGTCCATTGGGTGGTCAATTTACAGGGTTCTACTGTGTATTGCCCAGGGCAGTGTCCGCGTACAGCAGCTACTCTGATGGCGATGATGATGACGACTAAGGCTTACCGGGTGTACTCAGCCAGGATCTGAGAAGTGCACTGCTTAGGCTCACATGTGGGCTGCCCTCAGATGCCTTATGCAAGTTACTTCAGCTCCCTTTGGGTAGTAAGGATAAAATGAACCTACCACAGAATTGTTGTAAGAATTGTAACCCTTTCCAATCCAATTTTTCTGCCACCTGCATACTCTCCACCTCTTACTTATTTGGGGCAGGCCATTTTCCTACAAGTACAACCATGCATATACAATGTTCACATCAAAACTCATGGCCTGCAGAGAAAGAGAAAGCACAGCCTGCGCTATCTGGTGGCTAGAGTCCGTGCTACACAAGAAAATGCATCATTCAGGCTCTGACAGCAGAGCAAGCAAACAAATCCAAAAGAAAAAAAGTTTCAGACATCTTCTCACATCGGAGTGGCAACAGGAAAATCATTATGTTGGATGAGGTCCAGCATAGGATTGAGAATGTGTGTGAAAACCTTCTTAAGCACTCAATAATGATAGTGATTATGGCCTCAATAAGTACTCAATCAATTATCCAAATGAACTAATTTAAGAATGAAAATTAAGGCCCACATCACAAAATCTCAAAACTACAGATGCTGGGGTGGATGTGGAGAGAAGGGAACACTTTTATACTGCAAGTGGGACTGCAAACTAATATGACCTTTTTGGAAGGAAGTATGGAGAACCCTCAAAGAACTCAAGCTAGACTTCCTACTTTATCCTGCAATTCCATTACTGGGCATCTACCCAGAAGGAAACAAATCCTTTTATCATAAGGACACTTGCACTAGACTGTTTATCGCAGCTCAATTAACAATCACCAAAATGTGGAAACAGCCTAAATGCCCACCAACTCAGGAATGGATTAACAAGCTGTGGTATACGTGTACCATGGAATACTATTCAGCCACTAAAAAAGATGGGAGACTTTACATCCTTTATATTAACCCGGATGGATGTGGAACACATTATTCTTAGTAAAGCATCATAAGAATGGAGAAGCAAGAATCCTATGTACTCAATTCTGGTATGAAGTTCATTTTCCCTTAACCTCCAAGCTCAGCCCACACTGACTTCATATACTTCTCATTTCCCACTAAATGACAAGCTCTTCCATACTGGTGCTTCCCTTCACCTAAGTACTGACCAATAAACAGTTAAATAAATGAATCAAGTTCCAACTAACTGAAAGAACTCAGTTATATACTTTTTCAAATCCCTTAAAGTGCCACCAAGTGTCTTTCAAGTATTAAACTCAATAAAAATTATAACTGTATTTTTACAAAGAAATTACAGAGCAAATAACACATTTAAAAAATTTCATCACCCTAACATGCAGATATGTACATATAGATACATGCACACACACATATGTAAAACATGTGGGCTTACCATTCCTGAAGCTCATGCATGTGAAGGAAACGATTCCGATACTCTCTTGGCAGCTCAAACTGGGAAGGTATGGGGAACATGGATTCGTAGAAGTCCCTGAGAACAGCCTTCACTGTCTGGGCATCTTTATGATTGTGGTCAATGTTGTCATTCAGGCAAACAAACTTCCTGAAATAATAGATAGCCAGGGTTATTGGTTGCTATAAAGATGCATCCTGATCTAACAAAGAAAGGAACATAAATCTTAAATATATTTCAAATGGACTTATGTCCCGAATTAGTACATTTGTTGATATTATTCTCTGGGGGAATAATATTCAGTAAAATTTTCCTTTATATATTCATCACCTATAAAATGAGACAATTAGGGTAGATTGCTAGGGTCAGCGTTCTAGCTACGGGAGTAAATTTAATGATTTCCATTTAGTGCATACCGAATTACGGGTTCAATAAGTGTAATGAACTAACTGGAATATTTTGTTAGCAACTAGAAAAACAATTAGTAAGTACCTAAAGCCAAGTTCTCCAAACTGTTAGTTATATTAAGAAGAATAGTCATGTAGATAATGCAGGAACTGGGGGGAAGGAAGAGGAGGGAGAGAGAGGACAGGAAGAGAGGGAGAGAGAGGTATTATACCTACAGATTCTTGAGTTTGATGACTGCTACTTAATATGTCTCCAACCAAGCTGTAAGATGCTAGAGCTCTGGCTAAAAGCAGATTACGGTGGTGCGTCCCTATTTGCTTCAAGTTTCCTTCAAGGAAAAAGTGACTAAACTGAGTGCCCATTAAAAGGGTAGGAAGGGATGATAACACTTTTGAAGGAGACTTGCCAAAATTAAAAAAATAAAATAAAACATATCTGATAAAGCCTTTGGATCCAACTACCAATTTACCGGAAATACAGAGGACATAATAAACATATTAAGTAACTGGGATATGATCAGACAAGTATAATGTATAAGAAATTTATAGGATATGTCATTGGATTTCTTCGTATACACATGTGAAATTATATGATTAAAAAAAGAGATGGAAGGGGAATCTGTACACTTAATTTCAATAGATTACTTGATAACACTCCAAACCAAAAAATGTTTATAAATGCTTATTAAAAGACAAATGGGAAAGGTGTACACTGACTAGGTAGTTGATCATATTAAGGAATCACTATGGTTTATTAGGGTGATAATGGTACTGTGATATATTTTTATGAATCCTTTACCTAAACAAAAACATAAGATAAAATGATACAACGTTTGAGATTTACTTAACATTAATCAGGAAGTGGTGTTGAAGGAGGGGTATGTTTAGATGAGGTAAGATCAGATATAAACTGATTCTTGTTGAAAATAAGTGATGGATATGTGAAAATCTGTTATCTAGTCTCTCAACTTGAGAACTGCTTTAAATTAAAGGATACTAAAGAGCTATGTCAACCAAATGTAACGTGAACCGTGATTGTATCATGGATTAAAAATGAAAAGTAGGCAAAAGCTCTAAAGGGCATTTAGAGGGAACTGGGGAAACGTGAAGATAGGCTATCTATTAGATGGTAATGGTTAGCTGACGTTAAGGCCCTTGAGTGTGTGTTAATGCCCTGTGGCCTGAGAGTGAAGCCAAGACAGCCAGGTGAGCAGTAAAACTGAGGAGGTCAGACAAACAAACTGGCCACACTATATGCCTCTTCCAGACTCCTTGTTAATGGGATAAATATGCCCTATTTTTTTCTTGAGACAGAGTCTCACACAGTCAGCCTGGAGTTGAGTGCCATCGTGTCACAGCTCACCAAAGCCCACTTGAACCCTTGGGCTCAAGCAATCCTTCTGCCTCAGCCTCTGAAGTAGCTGGGACTATAGGCACCAGCCACAACACCCAGTTAGTTTTTCTATTTTTTAGTAGAGACAGAGTCTCGCTCTTGCTCAGGCTGGTCTCAAACTCCTAAACTCAGGCAATCCACTCACCTTGGCCTCCCAGAGTGCCAGGATTATAGATGTGAGTCACCACGCCCTGTGATAAATATGTCCTTAAAGGTTAAGTTACGAGATTGGTTTTCTTTTTTTTTCGTATTTTGTTTGTTTGTCTGTTTTTAGAGACAGGTCTCATTCTGTCTTACTAGAAAGCAGTGGCTCAATCATAGCTCACTCAAGTCTCAAACTCCTGGGTCCAACCAAAGCTCCTGCTCAGCCTCCTGAATAGCTGGGAGATAGTTTTCCAGGCCTGACTTAGAATAAGCCCCCATAGGCTCGGTGCCCGTGGCTCAAGTGGCTAAGGTGCCAGCCACATACACCTAAGGTGGCGGGTTCAAATCCCCAGCCCGGACCCGCCAAACAACAATGATGGCCGCAACCAAAAAATGGCCAGGCGTTGTGGCGGGCGCCTGTGGTCCCAGCTGCTTGGGAGGCAGAGGCAGGAGACTCGCTTGAGCCCAGGAGTTGGAGGTTGCTGTGAGCGTGATGCCATGGCACTCTACCCAGGGGGATAGCTTGAGGCTCCGTCTCAAAAAAAAAAAAAAAAAAAAAAAAGAATAAGCCCCCATAAAAATAAAACAAAACAAACAAAAGTTTAAAATGATAAAATCTGTTCATGTACAATGAGGCAGCTGGGCCTGGCAAGTCGTAGAAAAGGGCTGGTTCCAGGGCGGCGCCTGTGGCTCAGTGAGTAGGGCACCGGCCCCATATACTGAGGGTGGTGGGTTCAAACCCAGCCTTGGCCAAACTGCAACAACAACAACAAAAAAAATAGCTGGGAGTCTGTAGTCCTAGCTACTCTGGAGGCTGAGGCAAGAGACTCGCTTAAGCCCAAGAGCTGGAGGTTGCTGTGAGCTGTGACACCCAGCATTCTACTGAGGGCAACAAACTAAAACTGTCTCGAAAAGAAAAGAAAAGAAAAGAAAAGAAAAGAAAAGGGCTGGTCCTGCAGTGTGTCTTTTTACTAAAGCCCTAACCCTTTAAGTACCATGAAGATGTTGATAAATTCACTCAACAACTTTCAAATTGGCACAGACACATAACAGCATAAGCTAAACTAAAAACTGCCAATTCCCATAGTAGTTGTGCAGATCACTAATGACAGAGAGCCCACAGTAAGAGAACGGCCAGATTCTGTATCCCCATCAAAATTCATTCTTAAAAACTCTTTTTTAAATGAGAGCAGTACATTTCAGATGGAGGAAACGAGCATTTACAAGGAGAACTGCAAGCTGGGCAATTACTGATTACTGTAGCTTACTGTATGCTTGGCTTGGAAAATTTTATGAGAGATCAAGTATTTTATTGATTACTAAACACACTCAACAAGCATTAATGATATCTTCCTTTTTGTCAAAATTTCAATTCCTCTTTCCTCCAAATAAGAATGGGATTAGCATAAAAATATCATGGTTTTAAAAAGAACTACATATCTGAACGTATATAATTAAAATCCTAACTTAAATGAGGTAAAACCGAAGACTTCCAAAAGCACTTATATGACTCAGAAATTCAGAATATTCAATTTTGTATGTCCATGTCCCTTTTTTCCTCTAAGGAAACTGGTGAAAACAAGTCAAAATGCATATTTTTAGCCAATTTTATCAAACTAGTTTAGGCAATGGTTAGAAAGCTACACTGACAATTTTTTAGGCTTCTGTACCCTGAAATTTTCTTCATCCCCAAAGGATGGCTCGAGTTTACTAGATTAATTTTCACACTTATGGTAGCATTTCTTCTTCTTGGCAAGCTAATATAAACTTCACTTTGATTTGCTGAGGTAAATCTAACCACCATAACAACTGTTCTGGAAGCACCTTTTAAGAAACGCTGTCAGAGTCTCAGCTCCCCCCCCAGGACGCAGCCTGCTCTGAGGCTCCCTGAATAGCTGATGATGTTGCCTGACTCTGACAAGTCTGGGGTAGTCCTCTGCAAGGTGGACTGCACCTCAACTCACATCTATCTCAGCCAACCTCCAGCTCAAACTCAACTTCCACTGTTAGGTGCTCGGACTGCTCCCGATGGAAATAAGCCACTCCCTTCTCCCTAGTCCTACTGCCTTCTATTTGTATAATGAAGAGTAAGTTTAAATATCAGTACCTGGGATTTTTTCTTATGTCATCCAATTGACCAACAACATGAGAAACATTGGTACGAATCATTTTAAAAGCAATTTCTTCTTCTCCCATAATTTCAAACCTAATTAACAAAACATATTTAAAGAGTTAAATATTTATGTGGATATGAAAAACAGAATGTCAACGGAAAAAAACTTTTTAAGACTTTAGTGGACTCAACATCCACAAAACTACTTAATCTTTCCACATTACTGAAGAAAAACAATCTCACATAAATTTCAGAGTAATTATGAAGCTAAACAAAGGGAAAATGTGTGTACTAACTTACCTATATTTGTTTTTGTCCTTGTATGCTTTGTGGATTTTGTCAGTTACTGGTTTACAGTTGGTTACTAGACTTTTAGTGACTGGTGGCTGTGAAAATACAAGTAGATCAGATATATTCCATCAGGACTGAGACTGGGTGGGACAAGTGAGTCACATGCTTGGATGCAAAATTTAAGAAGGTACCAGAAGACTTATGATCATGGTGGATATTTCATTTATTTATTTACTTTTTTGAGACAGAGTCTCACTTTGTCACCCTTAGTAGAGTGCTGTGGTGTCACAGCTCATAGCAACCCCAAACTCTTGGGCTCAAGCAATTCTCTTGCCTCACCCTCCCTAGTAGCTGGGACTATAGGCACCTGCCACAGGCAATTTGGCTCGAGCCAATTTCTACTTTTTTTAAACTTTGATTCTCGGCTCGGCGCCTGTGGCTCAAGTGGCTAAGGAGCCAGCCACATACACCAAAGACTGTGGGTTCGAATCCAGACTGAGCCCGCCAAACAACAATGACGGCTGCAACCAAAAAATAGCCGGGCGTTGTGGCAGGCGCCTGTGGTCCCAGCTACTTGGGAGGCTGAGGTAGGAGACTTGCTTGAGCCCAGAAGTTGGAGGTTGCTGTGAGCTATGATGCCATAGCGCTCTACCCAGGGGGACAGCTTGAGGCTCTGTCTCAAAACAAAACAAAACAAAACAAAAAAAAACAACTTTGATTCTAAAAAAAAACAACTTTGATTCTATTCTTTCTGGAGGTAAGAAAAACACCAACTGTGATCACATGTGTAGCTTTTAAATCATTATGAACATACTGGCAAACAATTTATTAACATTTATACGATAGTCTAGAGTTTATGAAGCACTTTTGACAAACCTAAAATACTTTATCCCACTGCTCAAAGAACCAGAAGAAAATGCTAAAGCTCAGGTGAACTGTTATTATCAGCCTGATTACTGGACAGCTCCACTATGTATGTGAGGCCTCTCAAGAATCAACTTCCAGAACTTGCCTCATTCTTAACCTGCTGTTCATATCTGCTCGACTAGAACTATTCCTTTGGAACTGACACCAAGTCTTATTTCTCTATTTATCTCAGGTTTATTGAATTTGTAGTTTTAGAATATTTAACAAATTGGCTTAAGTGGCATATATCTATATACTAACCATGTCACACGCTAAACTAGCCTTCATGTGATTGGTGTAAATAATTCCTAACAAAGATATACTTTCTGTTGTACATAAAAGTAACCCATGCCACTTACCAGATTGGGGTCATAGTAAGCTTCCTGAGTCGGTGGAATATTGTTTAGCTGAGTGATATTGGCAGGAAGCATTTTTGAGCAATTTATTAACATATGTTCCAGACCTGTCAAATCCTAACAAAGCAAAATAAAAAGGTAAACCTGTGATGGGCATTATAAGTCATGACTGCAGTTTTAAAAGTAAAAATTTTATAAAATTCTCAAAAAATTAGTAAATACTATCTTGAAAGAGAGTTTGACTACATGATTTTTAAGATAAAGGCACCCTAAAAAAAGAAGAATGAGAAATACAAACACAAAAATACTCCATCCTCATCCCAAAGTAGAACACTCTGGCTTGAGACAAGCCCATTTTACACGGGCGGCCCAGGGGATCACTACAAGGTACGCGCTGTGGCTAGATTCCTCTTGGCACCCTCCATTAGTGAGTTTCTGTTCCTCAAAGATGCCATGAGGGAGGAGCCTGGCTCAGAGCACCAGTCAGCCACACCAGAAGCCAAGAATGAACATGCCATAGGAACTGTATATGCGGGTACAGTCTGTCTACTCTGTATAAAACATGATCATCTCTGCGGAAAACTCACAAGAACTAATCCCAGAAAATAACAAACTTCAAACATGGTCGTAATTCTGGCACTAAAAATGGTTTATTTACAAATACCCACATTAAATATTAAAAATTATTTTCATGGGCTATGCCTGTGGCTCAAAGGAGTGGAGCGCCAGCCCCATATACTGGAGGTGGCAGGTTCAAGCCCAGCCCTGGCCAAAAACTGCAAAAAAACCCAAAAAACAAACAAACAACAACAAAAAAAAAAACAGAATTATTTCTGTTTACATTTATTTGAAATATGTAAGGGGGTTGGAGGTATCACCAGAATTAAAATTTTCATTAAATATATCACAAAGTTTAAAGTAAAACAATGTAACACCTGCAAACTTAAAGGCAGCTCATGAATTCTGGTAGCCAGAGTTCGTATTTCTCTGTCAGACAAGACACCAGACTGGTCTGTATCAACTTCATCAAAGACTTGAGACACATTCAGTGGCTGAACTGCACTCATGAGATAGTAAAAATAAGAGAAGGCAAACTGCATATCTTCAGAATGTCGCACTTTGTGAAATGACGTCTTATCAAATTCTTCAGGGAACCTGTCCAAATATATATAATATATTATTAGCTCTGGACAAAGTATGGATAGTACCTAACATTTATTATAGACACAGACTTTCTTCCTTCTCATTTACTTAGATGATATTAACATATCAGTCTTCAAATCTATTAGAACCATAAATCGAGCACAGCAAATACTCAAGTTTTAAGCAGCCTTTGCTCTGAACACATCCAAGCAACTCCAACCCAAGCAAGACTCACATATCTTGGAGTTCCTGCATAACAACTCGGTCAATCATGTGAGGCATGTGAGCAGGGACTTTCCGAGATGTGAACCCAAACTTGCTATTTAGAATTTTATTTACATATCGCAGGGAATCTGCAAAAGTATCTTTCAGTTGCCGCCCAGTATGTTTGCTCTCAGTAAAATATGCCAGTTGTTTCTTCAACGACTCTTCTTCCTGAAAAGAGAATTGCACACAGCTTGGCATTATGTTTAGTGAGCAAAGGTACTTGGTTAACAAAAGACAAAGGTACAATTTTCTATAATGTGCTAATAACTAATTACTAGCTCTCTGTGAGGGACAAATCAATTGTATGCTAACAGGTCACATTAAGGATACGAAGAGCAGGACTAAGTTGGATGCCAGTGCGAGTATCACTCATGTTGGCTTGAGAACAACAGGCATGTGATGGTGATCTATTTATAGAGTGTTCTTCAAAGACTGGTCCATCCTCATCAGACTTTAAAGCCAATTCAATGCAACATTTTAAAAACTTATGTATAAATTTGATGTACTTTCAATATCAAGTTATTTCTGAAGGTGACATCAATGCAGCAAATCTTTTAGTTCTGAACTCTGAACTAGAAATAAATTTGGTTTCACTGCATAATAGTATTATTATAAAATCAAAACCAGTAAGAGGCAGAACTAAATAGGCAAAGAAAATTGGCAAAGAATTCAAACATACTTTACAGAGGAGAAAATATTTTTGCTTCTTGAACTGCTAACAATTTAAAGAGATTGATATTACCCAGGGTTGGTTAGACTGTAGAGAAACAAGCACTCTTGCATACTCTTTGTAGAAGTATCAAGTGGTGCAACATTTTCGGGCATCAAGTTTATGCACCTCTGACCTGCTAACCTAGGAATTCTACCTACAGAAATAAAAACCTACTCAAGTGTAAGAGATAAGCACCAGAATATTGATTCCCATACTATTTGTAATCACAAAGCACTGGAAATAATTTGCTGCTGTTAAAAAGAACAACAGCACAGTCATGGCCTGTTTGCCTACATCTTACTAAATCAAAAGGCAAATGCATAGAAATATATGTATAGTGTAATTTCACTGTGGAAAAGCAGAAACTTTGGCTTTGCGCCTGTGGCTCAAACGGCTAAGGCGGTAGCCACATACACCTGAGCTGGTGGGTTCGAATCCAGCCTGGACCAGCCAAACAACAATGACGGCTGCAACCAAAAAATAGTCAGGTGTTGTGGCGGGCACCTGTAGTCCCAGTTACTTGGGAGGTGGAGGCAGGAGTATCGCTTGAGCCCAGGAGTTGGAGGTTGCTGTGAGCTGTGATACCACAGCATTCTATTCAGGGCGACAGCTTGAAGCTCTGTCTCAAAAAAAAGAAAAACAAAAAGAAAAACAGAAACTTTATTAGCTGGTATGTTTCCATACATACAGAAAAATATTGGGCCAGGAGCAATGGCTCATCCCTGTAATCTCAGTACTCTGGGAGGCTGAGGTAGGTAGATTACCTGAGCTCAGGAGTTTGAGACCAGCCTGAGCAAGAGTGAGACCCCATCTGTAAAAATAGTTGGGTGTTGTAGTGGGCGCCTGTAGTACCAGCTACTGGGGAGAATTAGGCAAGAGGATCACTTGACCCTAAGAATTTGAGGTTGCTGAGAGCTATGATGCCAGAGCACTCTTCCAAGGACAACAAAATGAGACTGTCTCAAAAAAATAATAAAACAATAAACTAAATAAACTAAATTTTAAAAATAAAATTATTATTATTTAAATTTTTAAAATAATAAAATTTAAAAATTTTTAAAAATAAAATTTTCTATTATTTAAATTTTTTTAAATTAAATTAAAAAAAAGACAATTAGGAGTGATTCTCTCAAGTCAGGAGATTGAGGAAAGATTATCTTTCCCCCTCCACGCCCCCCTCCTTTTTTGCAGTTTTTGGCCGGGGCTGGGTTTGAACCCACCACCTCTGGCATATGGGGCCAGCGCCTTACTCCTTTGAGCCACAGGCACCACCCAGCCCCTCCCTTTTTATTTATTGTATGTTTTTGAATTGTTTACAGTTTTTAATCACTGGCTTATAGTGCTTTTCTACATTTTTTATATAAAAGGAAAGAAAAGAAAGAAAAGGGGAATAAGGAAATTAACACAGGCAAGAATTCTGTCCTTCATTCAACAGTGAGTAAATGCCTAATGTGCCAAGACAAGACACTTCCCAAAACACAGAGGAACAAGACACAGTTTCCCCTCTCAGCCTACCACCCACTTGTGGCTGTGCTTCTATCCAGCCTAGACCACGTGATTTTTCTTGGACTCTCAACTCCCACACTCCTCAATGGTTTGCTCACAGACACTTCCTCATGATGCCTCCCCAAGTACCTCCAGGCATAGTTAAGGAGCTTCCCTCTGGACCCCTTGCCCATACCTCAACAGAGACATTTGCCTCATTGCTCAATTATCTGCCCACAAATTTCCTTCCTTAATGGTCTCTGTGTCTACACAAATAGCAACTGTGTATGAGTCATCTTGTATTCCCCAGTGGTTAGCACCATGACAGCACTTGGGAGATGTACAAATGAGACCACGGGACAGTGGACGCCATGGTACCGGGAAGAGGAAAGAGTACTCCATCTCTGAGGCTTGGCTCACTGTGCCTTGCTCCTGCAATGTTGGGGAAGCTAATGAACTTAACTGAACCTCAGGGCTTTTCCATCAGTAAAGCTGGGACAGTATCAAGATGTGACGGGCCAAGTAAAGACAAGGTGCCACCCTTGTTCTGTTTCCATGCAGTATGCTCCTGGCTGAATCTCTTGCCTATTCACAGGAGGGCTGTTTCCTAAACTGCAAATGGGTACAGCAATAGTAAATACCTTCATATGGCACTTTTATTGTTTAGGGCTATTGGGTAAATTAAATGAAATCTTGTATGAAAAGCATTTAGTTAGTAAAAAAAAAAAAAAAACAAACAAACAAAAGAGGGCAGCACCTGTGGCTCAAGGAGTGGGGTGCCGGCACCATATATTGGAGGTGGCGGGTTCAAACCCACGCCTAGCCAAAAACTTTCAAAAAAAAAAAAAAAAAGAAAAAGAAAGAAAAGAAAAGCATTTAGTTCAGTAACTGGCATGAGAAAGAGCTGAATAAGTGATAGCTGTTACATTATCATTTATAAAGCTATTTGCTTTTCCTGAATATGAGAAAAAATAAGGGTAGACATAACTTACATCAAGAAGATCTTGGAAATACTTCTTTTTCTCCCAAGGCAAGAAGCCCAGGTAAGTTCCTGTGTAATGCTGCAGCTTTCTTCCAAGTAATACTTGATTAACACTTTTGTGATTTTTAGCATTTTCCTCCATTCTGTTTTTCTTTTCTTCTTTCCCTGTGATTGTTTCTTTTTTCACATGGTTTTCTAGCGGAACAATCGGAGGTGACAGTTTTTCTTTTAATCCACCTACTACTTTTTGGGTCTTACTTTCCGATATAACTCTTGCTTTGGCCTCCAAGTCTGGGAGTGGATTCTGACTCTGGTAGTGACCATTCACTTTTAGGGTCACTGTTGGAAAAGATGACTTCTGTATTCTGTCAGATGCTCCTAAGCTGTCTGGCAAGCTGCTTTTGTGAACCTGTTTTTCTGGTAGGGCCACCAAACTGTTTTTTATTTTGTCTGTTAATATACCTTGATTTATTTTTACATTAGCATCCTGTAAGTTCAGCAAAAATGATCTCAGCAAGGCTGACTTGGACAAATTGTATCCCTTCAAGGTGATGTCTCCACGTTCCAGTTGCAAATCCAAGTTATTCAGACTCAACTGGACCTCTTTTGGAAGGAGTGAAGTATTTACCACAGGAATTTTCACTTCCTCTGGAAATCTATTTGTGCTAACATCATGTCTCCTGACCTTTGGGAAACGTTTTCCTTCAGGAACCTCCTCAAACACGGCTTCTGCCTCTGGAAGAAGCGTTACGGAGTTAGCTAAATTTTCATGAGCCTTCTGGATCGTAGAATTCGGCTTTGCTCCCTCCCTTGTATCTACCTCTACTGTTATCTGGAGTTTGAACTCTTCGTCATTTCTGTTTTGAAGTGTGAGATTGAAGTGTATCGTGGTTGCATTCATTCCACTGTGCATAATGAGGTGAATGGTTTTCCACTTATTGGCAATAGAAGCGTGTCGAATGATTGGATTGTCACTGTAGGCACCTTCAATTCCTCTTTTGGCTATTTCTGCAAAGCTGAAATAAGGCAGGCATTCACCTTTTGGAATAATATAGTGAGTCTGGTTTGGAAGAAGAGTTACTTTATATAATTCATGAAAATGATCTAGAGAAAAAAACAGAAAACATGATTTTTTAAAAACTAGGCACTTTTTCCCCCTTTTCTCTAATTCTTTAAGTCTGAGATTTCACTTTCTAAGACTGACTGTAATTTCAAAATAATCAGAAATTCTAATATAACAGCTACTGGTATAGGTCTCATTTTACTATTTGAAGCAGTCACAATGATTAATGTGAAATGTTGACCCAGACTCACTACCCAGATGGCACAATTATTAACAATAAAATTTCAGGGGCGGCGATGTGGCTCAAGGGACTACGGCGCTGGCCCCATATGCTGGAGGTGCTGGGTTCAAACCTAGCCCCAGCCAAAAAATGGCAAAAAAAAAAAAAAATTTCAGTTACCAATTTCCATCTTTTTTTTTTTTTTTTTTGCCCATTTGAAGAAAAATGGGCAAAACTTTTCTGCCAAAACAGCTTTCATTTATAAGCTATCAACAAAATCTAGTATTCAAACTCTTCTTATTTAATGAATTACTAATCTCCTTTTCTTTTTTTTGTAGAAATAGAGTCTCACTTTGTCATCCTCGGTAGAGTGCTATGGCATCACACAGCTCATAGCAACCTCCAACTCCTGGACTCAGGCGATTCTCCTGCCTCAGCCTCCCGAGTACCTGGGACTATAGGCACCTGCCACAAGGCCTGGCTATTTTTTGTTGCAGTTTGGCTGGGGCCAGGTTTGAACCCACCACCCTTGGTATATGGGGCCGGCGCCCTACCCACTGAGTCACAGGCACCGCCCTACTAATCTCCTTTTACTGTTTCCAAATTAAGAAGTCATCCCATATTTTCAGCTAAGGTGAATTTTCTTGGTTCAAAAAACCAGACTGGAACAGTAACAGGAAAAGATAAATCTTTAGTGTCTACTATTTTTTAAAGATCTTATCCTTCTCTTACTTTTACAACTAGTTTGGATACAAGGCTGGAAAAGGGATACACTGAAAGTAATTAATATAAACCACCACCATCAATTCTTCTTTTGGCTATTTCTGCAAAATAGACACCCCCCAAAACCCTATTTACCAAGGATTTTTATCCCTTCTTTTTTTTTTTTTTTTTTTTGAGACAGAGTCTCACCATGTCACCCTTGGTAGAGCGCCATGGCATCACAGCTCACAGCAACCTCCCAACTTTTGGGCTCTAGAGATTCTCTTGCCTCAGTCTCCCAAGTAGCTGGGACTATAGGTGCCCACCACAACGTCCAGCTATTTTTTGTTACAGTTGTCATTATTGTTTAGGTGGCCCGGGCTGGGTTCGAACCTGCCAGCTTCAGTGTATGTAGCTGGCGCTGTAACCACCATGCTACAGGTGCCAAGCCTATCCCCTTATTCATAATATGTTTCTACAGTATAAATATACCTTGCCCACAGTCGCCAGCATCAAACCCACAGGCCAAGACATTGCAGGCTTGGTCACAGAACTTATCAGCGAGCCAAGAATTTGCACATCCTTGATTACAGTAAGAGACACCATTTACTCCTCCACCAAAGTTCCAGGGCTGTCCGACTCCAATACTTCCAGTGCCCCCGCCTCCTGGGATATAGCGGCTTCCTCCAGTGTTGCCTGGAGGGGGTTGGAGAGGAACACAAAATCTTATAATACTTACCCCTTAAAAAAAGGGCAGCTCCTTATTTCTTACTAATGTTTTCACGATTGATGCATGAATTTCAGTCAGAAAAGGTTCACCACTCAGTAGTAGTAGATTTCACGTATCTTAGGAAGAAAATAAGCTGAAAGCGGAGCATTGCCGTGCAGCAGGGAGATGACCAGGCCTTGCACCTAAGGACAGGCCTCAGATTCCCTCAGGAGGGTCCGTGCAGATGAGTATGAAGAGATTATTCTAAAAACCTTGACTGTCAGAACCACCAAAAACACGTCCGAACATGGGTATTGACCTCTTGTTATCAAACTGCTACGCTGCCAGGAACTGGCCCCTCTGGTCTACACAGAGGACTCTGCGCATCTGCATCCTCTCCCTGCCGCTGCTTGTATTTTTAAAAGTACGTCTGACAGACTGGGCCAGAACACAACTCAAAGCTTTGTTTCATCCAATATTCAGCACATTTCCAAATCTGCTTCCACATATGGAAGACGGGGACGATAACATTTGTGCATATTCTCTCTTAGGTGACCAAGAAGTTCAAATGGATAATAGATAACACATTATACATTTATTGCTTAATAAACTGCAAACAAATGTAAAAAGCCGCTATGATCAGTGAATCCAGATATAAGTATGTAAGAAAAGGAGAAATGTGACATTTAATCTTTTGCATCTCTTCGGTACTCTATGATCTAGCATAATCTGCTGCTGAAAACCACCAGCCATGAGCTCCTACTGAGAACCAATTAGATTTGCATCCACTGAAATACAGAGAAAAACAAAAAAAGAACCACTTAGGAGTGATTCTTGCTCTTATGTTTAAACAATTGAGCATATTCCATATTTTCACATTTTAAATAACAAGAAAATGAATTATCCAGTACAGAGCCAGCATAAAAAAATGCTCTCAACAACAGATAATGTGAATAAACTGGGCCACAAAGAAACACCAATCACACCTCCAAACAGCCTATGGGTTACTTATTGTTTTCCTACATCAATGTTTACGTTTACAGCACATGTTCATAACGATTTAAGAATGAAAAACTCCATAAACATGAACAAATTACATTTACCACATCCTTACCGGTGCAATCACCACCATCCCAATCACAGGCTGAATTATTACAAGCCTTGTCACAATAGCCGTCTTTAATCCAGGAACCCGGGCAGCCCTCGGCACAGTTTGGCACAGGCCATGTCAAATAAACCTACGATAAAACCAAAGAGAAAATGATTCTGACACTTTTTATTCTTGAATTAGGTTTCCTTTAATTAAAAAAAAAAAAATAGAAAAAAGTTTCCAAGGTTCACTATCTTACATACATGATTGCTCTCCATCTGCCTGTACCTGCTACTGTATTTTTTTTAGACCTTGCTATGGTGATGGCCCTTACTGAGCACATCTACTCCTTGTCTACTTGAGCAGACAAGGACTCAATGTGTGGATTAGTCGCTCACAACACGGTTTATAATAATCTACTTTGAAGTAGAGCAGCAACATGTCAGACGGTACTACAGTACAAAGCATGCCAACACAGGTGGAAAGCAGGCACAGACACCGTTTTTGTGTGACAACTATCAGTAACTATTAAGTACATTTATGCATAATCTTGACTCACAGCTGAGAAAAAGCAGATGAACTCTTAACATCCTCCTCTATCTCCGCACATAAAGCGCTGGGATAAGTTAATCAGCACAGCATTTAGAGTTAAGAGTACTCTGCTTGCCCAAAATGGGTGATACTGTACATGGTTACTTTTTCAGTTAAAATTATTTTAATAATCCATACTTCTCTTTCAAAGTCTTTCTGCCTTTGCACATTCCACCTATTTGCAATGTCTTTCTTCACCTAAACCAACTCCTACTTGTTCTTCACAATTCAGATTGGTGTTCTCCCCATCTTGTCTAATTTAAGTCTTCTGCGCTCACACTCCTCAGAACCAGGGCACATTGGCAGAAGGAGAGGCACTCTACACAAGGGTAAGGGGAATGAAATTATAGAGATCCTTGAACCACAGTCATTGATTTTGTGTTTATCACCTGTTAATCCACAAGCTCAACTTTGCAGCCCTGTAATCTAACACAGAGACAAGTGAATAGGGAACAAGAGAATGAGCCCTTTCACCACTTATAGTCATTGGGTTTGACAACCTATAAGCTTATGGTGATAAGTCTCTTGCCCGTGAATCCTTCTGACTACACTCCAGGGATATCTGTATCCACTTGCCCTCCCCTCCCCCTCACCGTACAGATCCGTAACACAGAGGTCAAGTCACTGCCCAGGGTCATCCTAAACAGCTGACTCCTGCGTCTGTGCTCTTAATCACTTCTCCATCCTGTCTCTCAACAAAGTCAGGATGTCAGAGTCCGTGTCAAAGCCAGAGTGTGATGAGCTGCCTTAATTGAAATTTCATCCATATCTTTCAGCACTAGTTTAGGCTAACTTTCTATTTTGGTCATTTTGCTGACATTCCAACCATGATTTTATGTTTCATAGTGATCTTGCCTTTTCTGATGTTATAGTAGAAAATTTAGAGGGTCAGGGGAAAAGAGCATGTTCTGAGTATCTGAGAACGCAGGGAAGCAAACTCCTGCTGGAGTTTTCTTATTCCTTAATTGTTGACGCTCCTAAGCTTAGCACTCAAAAATGCTTATTTGATCATATTTGAATTTAGTAGCATATGCTCTGATTTCCTAAGTGCCTTGCACACTAAACATCCCCTCCTCTGAGGCACTCACCTTCTGACCTTTGGAGTGACTATAAAAATCATCTGGCCAGACATCCTTCCCAAACATGACATCATCATTTAGGTAAATAAACTTCTGGGACAGCCCTTCAATGCGATGAATGTGACTTTCAATTGCAGGTGAACTAAAGGTAGGCAAGTGGCTCAAATTTCGAAAAACATCCTTTTAACAACAAAAGAAAAAAAACAAGAAAGAAAGATGGTGAATGAGAGAATGAATAGGTTTTTGGAAGGAAGGACAGGGAATGGGAGAGTTGAAGAAAGCTGGAAGTGAAACTCAGAAAGGTAAGGGGAATGAAATTATGGAGATCCTTGGATCCAGTAAAAGAACAAAACAGAAAACCACAGCCTTGCAATATTCATATACCTGGTGCGTTACTATTGTTACTCGAGGATTGTCAAGGTTCAGCCAGGATGGAATCTGCCCATTGGTGACAATGAAAATATTCCGAACCCAGGGTGCATGCCTCTCAATAGATCTCAGTGAGTATCTCAGCTCTTCATTATCTTCAAAACGACTGGCAGAAATGTCTTCATCCTGCTTAGACTGAGAAAAGCACTTGGCACGTGAAGATGTGAAATACCACCTAAGTGATGCCTCCTCCTCCTTGTCTTTTCCCTCACCTGTCTGCTGTCAGGGTGATCTGGAAGACTTTAAAGATAGAGTCTTAGTTTTAAACACCACCAAAAAATGCAAAGGATTTACTATATTTAAATAAAAAATAGGCTGGTCGCAGTGGTTCACAGCTGTAATCCTAGTGCTTTAGGGGTAGAATGATTGCTTGAGGCCAGAAGTTCCAGACCAGCCTGAGCAGCAATGAGACCCTGTTTCCACAAAAAACAGAAAAATTAGCTGGACGTAGTGGTGGGTGCCTGTAGTCCCAGCTACTCCTGAGGCAGGAGGATCACCCGATCCCAGGCATTTGAGGTTGCTGTGAGCTATGGTAATACCACTGTACTCCAGCCTGGGCAACGAGATGAAACCCTCAAAATAAATAAATAAATACATAAACAAATAATTAAAAAATGGAAACTCAAAAATACAATTTTTTAACAGATTTACAGAAAAAGGTTCTTGGATCTGATTCTGGTTACTTCAATTAATATTAAACTAGTGGCAGTTGACCAGAAAACAAGAAAAGATCCATTCAACTTGCCTCTCTCTAAGTCCTCCTAATAAAATGACTTATCCATTTTATTTTTTTATTTTTTTTTTGAGACAGAGCCTCAAGCTGTCCCCCTGGGTAGAGTGCCGTGGCATCACAGCTCACAGCAACCTCCAACTCCTGGGCT